CTTCCTTTTTGCCTTTTTACTTCCTGACAGTTTTTTTGCATACCTTTGTAAAAAGCAAGAGGTGTTTACCTTAAAGCAGGTATTTGTGCAGGAAAATACTGGTTATATGTAAAACAGGCCAGTTGTATTCCAGCCAGTAGTTTTATTGCTCAAATAACTGCTTCTCTCACTTTGTTACAGTATTGCCAAATGTAGATTGCTATGGAAATAATTCATGCTTCAGTACCACATGTGAAATGAGCACAACTTTTAGGGGCAATCTCTGCAATAGACCAAAAGTTAAGTGACCCTATAGATACTAATTAGTCTCCTAGGATATCCATAAATGGTCCTTTCCTGATGTAGTTGACATGCATCCTACTTGGAAGGATGCAATTTTTCATCATTTTTCCACATTATTATTTATTGGGGGGGGGGGGGGAATAAGCAAAACACGTTATAAAAGCCTAGCACTCAAACTGCACCCACCTGCCCCAATTTGTAATGTCAGAAGGGAAAAGGTGGCTCAGTCATTTTGTCATAAATTTCAACACATTTAATTTTTAACCTTTTAATTTGTTCTTTCTTTAATGGGTATCTGTCACTTTGAGATTTCAGCAGTCATCTGTGACTCTAGAATGATAATCCTTTGATGTGGAAATCGAGGTGCTGTTAGAGTATCAGTATTTTTGCAAGTGGTGTCACAACCATGATTTTTCTGATAAGTCTTAAAGTTTCTTAAGGCTTCAGTTCTTAAAAGGGGTAGGATGTGTTGTAGGAGATCACGGTAGATGGGACTTCTGGACAGCATAAGCTATCCAGCCACTCTGTTTTCCAATGCCCTTGACAGAGGTCCCCAGTCATACACACACCTGCTAGTTTGCATGAGACAGGTGATTTCACTCATTCACGAGAGCAGACTCAGCTCTGGTAATGTTTTGTAGTACCAATTTTAAAATTAGCTTGGTGTTATTTCATTTGGATTATATGGCATCATTTATGGGGCATAAATAGTGATTGAAAGTGATTCCACTGATATGTTGAGAAACATCTATGCATTTCTTTAGTGAGCTTGGAGACAAGAACAAAGAAATTGGCAGGTGGAGAAGGGGAAATGTTCCTGCCAGCTACACAGGCTGCCAGCTTTTGGTATTTCCCAGAATCCTGCCAGTCACTGTTTCCTGGCTCTAAATACCACCTCAGAGCTCTCTCTCCTATATGGGGCAGCTGAGCTATGGCTGTTCCCTTTGGTAATACTGCCTATACTGAGCATGGCTTTCCTCTTGCCCTTTCTTCGAGTCTGAATAAAACTGATGTATATTTATTGTGCAATAACCCTTTGCAACCCAAGACTGCAAAGTCTAGTGATTACACAGGACCTTGCATTTGAGACAGGCTGTAGGACCATGACTTCTTTCCTACTGCAACAGAGTCCATTCCTTTCTGTGTAGAAGATTACCTGTTTAAAAGGCTGGTGACTTAAATCACTTAAAAAATATTCTGTTGTGTCAGAGGCAGGTCAGGTGCTGTAGAATCACAGAATATCCTGAATTGGAAGGGACCCACAAAGACCATTGAAGTCCAACTCCTGGCCCTGCACAGAACCCCTAAAATCACACCATGTGCCTGAGAGCATTGTCCAAATGCTTCTTGAACTCTGTCAAGCTTGGTGCTGTGATCACTTCCCTGTGGAGCCTGTTCCAGTGCTCAACCTCTGGGTGAAGAACCTCTTTCTAATATCCAACCTAAACCTCCCCTGACACAACTTCAGGCCATTCCCTTGAGTGACCAGAGGGAAGAGATCAGTGCCTGCCCCTCTATTTCCTCTTGTTAGGAAGCTGTAGACCAGCAGGAGGTCTTCCCCCAGTCTTCTCTTCTCCAGGCTGAACAAGCCACATGACTTCAGCCACTCCTCATATGGCTTACCCTCTAGGCCCTTTAGCATCTTCATAGCCCTTCTTTGGAAGGGTAGCTTTATACCTTTCTTATATTGTGGCACCCAAAACTGCACACAGAACTTGAGGTGGGGCCGCACCAGTGCAGAGCAGTGCAGGACAATCACCTCCCTTGACCTGGCTGGTGATGCTCTGTCTAGTGCACCTCAGGACATGGTTGGCCCTCCCAGCTGCCAGGACACTGCTGACTCAGTGCTTTGGAGTGTGGCAGTCTGTGGGGTTTTAATGCATATTTTCCATTCAATTGTTATGTGAAAGATATCCTCCCACCCACATGCCTTCCCACACAAAGGAAGCTGGCCACTGAATGAACTTCATAGATGGAAAGTGTTACCCACCTCCAAGAAGTAGTTTTCAGTTACTGCACTTTGAAGTCTTTTTGAAAGTTGTGTAAAAAAAAAAATCGCCAACAAAAAGGCTTGTTCTCTGTTTGTTTTCTTTGCTGGCCATCAGCACATAAAAACTGTCTTTCTTCTCCCCCTCAGTCAAAAGAAAACCATCCCAAACCTGGCCTAACCAGAATTCAAGTTAACTTTCCTCTCATTGTAAAAAGTGACATGTTTTCTTTGAATATCCTGTCTATTTTACCCTCCATCTGAAAGATGGCTCTGCCCGCAGCTTGATGCATATCTAATTCTTTGTGAGGAATGAGAGAAAAAAAAATTAAAAATACTGTTTAGGAGTTAAAATACTACACAGCAATCCCTAGACAGTACCTCCTGCAGCTAAAGGCTGTGGAGAGCTTGTACCAGCAGAAACCAGGTTAGAACCACACCCAGCATCTGAAACCTTTCTGCATCACTTTTGATGGTAGGACCATCCCCAGATGTGATGTTTAGCCACTTTCTGCTTTGTCACCAAAGCTGCTGCTGAGGTTAGTGTAGTGTTTGCTGTAAATTCTTTGATTTCTGCCTGCAGATTGACACACAGGAAGGTCCTCAGCACTCACGAAGACATTCATCCCACTAACATTTCCAGGAGTGTAACATCTTTCCCATGGACTGCTCTGCTCTTAAGGAGGATTTCTCATTTACTGTGCTGTATTTCTTGTGTTCCTGATGAGCTCATGTAAAGAGACTGAACTGTGGGCTGTGATCTTCCATTTGAACTAACATATAAACAAAAATATATTTGTACAATTTTACATTCTCTTTTCTTACTACTTTTGTGTATATGTAAAGAAACCCCAACAAACCAAAACTAAAATCAAAGAATCCCTCTACTGTAAAGACCTTTAGTCAGTCTTTCTATTTCAAGGTTATTTAAAAGTATTAGAACTGCATTTGTTCCTGTGACAATGCCGTGCATTGTGTGCATGCACAATTTAGTTTATTCTCTGCTTATTCCTCTATTGCAATGTAAAAGGGGCTTGTAGTTCTGCTTTGTGAGTTGTTCCCAAAAGACTCATCTCTGGGTTCAGGGTACATGGAAGCCTGATGGGCTCTTTTATGGTCAGAAGTGGTGTAAAGAAGAGCCAGAGCAATGTCAACCAGAAGGAGCACTTTGGCCCCACGTACCTTCAGGGCACTGAGCAAGGCTGGACAGAACAGAAGTTCATTTGGCATTCTGTGTGTGTCACAGAGGTCCCATAATGACTGAAGGACTTCAAGGCAGCACTTCCTGGACCTCAGTCTGAAATCATAGCACAGAGTGCTTCCTCCCTTGCAAATCAGAATAGTAACTCATGCTGTTACATTTTACCTGTGTTGCTGAGGTAGCAAGCCAAAGGGCAGTCCACTTCTTTTATATATGCTGTATGCTTATACTTTGTACTGGTTTGGATGTTGCTGCTGTAAGCATCTAAGGAATGTGCTGCTAGCTCAGTCAGTGATGAATCCATCCAACCCAGTATCCTGTCTCCAGCAGTGACATTAGGAGATTCTGTTTAGGAAGTGCAAACAAATACGACTCCTATCTGAGTACCATTCCCAGCATCCAAAAGTCATAGACTCATCTCTGTCTTCTCCCTGTTTATGGACATGTTGTCCATGAATTTGTCTACCTTCTTTTTGGAACTGCTCATATTGTTTGCCTTTAAAACATGCCGTGACTACATATTTTACAAGCTCATATAAGAAAGTACTTTATTGTAACTGTTAAATGGGATTTACTGAACAAATTTTTCATTCATCTTATTTCCAGGGAGCCTTCTCCTCCCTTCATTGAAAATCCTCAGCTTTTTAAGGCTCCCTTGATAAGAGATACCTCTCCTCAGTGCATTATGTCCTTCTTGCAGTGCTGAGAAGCATGAGTCAGGATGTGGGTGCACCTGGGTTTTATGCATTGGCAAAACAATGCTCTCTGCATTGCTCTCAACACCCTTCCTGACAATGCTCAACAATTTGATGCTTCTGGCTGACACTGCACATTGAGGTGATGAATGAAACTGGGAATAACTAATGAGAACACACTATTGTGATCAAGGCTGGCTGGGGTATGCAGTTAAATATAGCTATATTTAACTTTTCCTTTTAAACCATTTTCTATTGCCAGTCTCAGTGAAAGACAAATATTATCAGCCAGGGTAACTGCTCCAAATTGGACAGCTTTGGGTCACTGTATTTTTGCAGTCTTCCCTTTTTCTCTGCCCAGAGCATTAGTAGTATACCTTATGGTGCAAACTAGAGCACCCATAAGTAATATGCCTGCATGTTCTTTCTGCATTTGTGTGCAGGGGCCCAAGGTGACTTTTAAGCTTAGGTCTCTTGTTCAAAAACTTGATTATAAGGATGTGGAAACACTTCTGATGCACCCTTTTGAAGAGGTTTTATGACTCAGATGCAAAAATTAACTTCCAGATGAAAGTATAGTAGAAGCTTTAGCCCAGGAGCAACACCTACCCAGTTTTATAACCCTGTCACACATATAGCTTTAATAAAAGCCTGTAGAATAAACAAAACTCAGCTATAGAAACAATAAGGCAATAGCAGTTGTAATTCAGGGAACTTCCAGCAGATTAGTAACAACCTGTGAAAAGCCTGTGGCCTGAAAGGCAACCTTGAGTCTCTAATTCCTAGGAAATTGTTTGTGTTGTGGTGGTTATTGCTGCTTAACAATTAACACCTGGAAGACTTAAAAAAATTTGGCTTTTAATTTCTCTTTTCCATTTTCAGCATGTGAAGTCTGATTCTGGCATGAATCACAGCTCTTTGAGATCCACCTCTTTCAGGAGGTCTGCACAGCTATCCGTGAACTAGAGCATCCTCTAAAGAGCTGAGACATTGATCCAAGGAAGCAATCAGGTACCTGTGTGATTCTTTCTCTGTGGAGCTCTCAAAATCAGAAAAGCTTTTTTGGAACATTCCTCCCAGAATTTTAAACAGTCTAGAGGACACAAACATTTCATCAGAATCTGTAAATAAAAAAAGAAAAAAGTTCAATTGCTACCAGGTTTTTTTCCTTCAATGAAATCAAATGGAAATTGCAATTCTATTTTATGTTGCAAAATATTTACACCTTTTAGTGCCTGATGTTTCTTGGCATTTTTTTCTCTTTCCTGTAGCCACTTTCAGCATATCTGAGTCTATTCAAATGTCAATGAATCTTCACAGCTCACTCCTTCCGTGCAGACAGAGTCCCTGATAAAGCACTTCTCCCACCCAAGAAATGTCTCTGGAAAGGAGTTAGTCCTTTCCTTGAGATCTGGTAACAGTCAGTCAGGGAGGTACCTGAAACAGTAACAAGCCTTCTATGCTCTGTGTGTGCCAGTTTAACCTACTGTGCATAAATCCTACTGATGGCACCGGTTATGCTTAACATTAAAGATACACAGTAATTTTATACTACAGTCCTAGAAATATTCTGCTTAGATATCTCTACAAGCAAATTTAATGCAGTCCTCAACTATTTTGGATGCTCTAGAAATGTGAGTGTGTTCCAGAACTTCATAGGTCTCCTGGTTCAGGTACTTGACACACAAGCAGTCATATGACATACACTCAGCCACAAGTGTTAATGAGAAAGTAATTAATCACAGATTCCATGTAGCTTGTATGTGAAAATCCTCACCAGTTATACCGGATCCAGACAGACTCGGTGTGGTGAAAGGAGTTTAGCTTCCTGTAATACCGATGTAGCTGCCCAGCTGCTCTCTGGAGCAACGAATTAACATAGAAATACAATGCCCTTCGCTGCTAAATTGGGTTCTGTGGCCTCTTAAGAAGAGAAGAATGAGTGAACTTGGGAGCCCAGGGATGTCTAGAGTCTGGGGATGGCAACATCAGTTTGGAGATACTCAGAAATTTGAACAGGTCAGAATCCCACTTCTTGCTCTCTCAGTGCATTTTCCAAGTTTTTTAAATTTATTGAATTTTTTTCTTTCAGGGCTGGCTGCCATTACTGCTTAACATCAGTGGAGAGATTCCCACTGAATTTCAAGGGCAACTGGATTAGTTACTGGTTTGTTGTACTGAAAAGGCATGCAATTAAAAAAGCTACCACATTGTTCTCACTGGGCCGGAGCCAAGGATGACCAAGTGTGCTTGCTCAAGTTCAGCTGTGCACTGTCACCCACGAAGGCAGTGGGTTGCGCTTAGGATGCAACCCAGACAATGGAACCCGGCCTGGCCAGAAGCTGCAGTTTGGCAGCTTAGACCCATTGGAGCTCTGACCAGGCACAGGGAACAGCTACAAGGGATTTCTTTTAGGAGTCAGAGCTGTAATTTCCAAATGATAGGTTTATGTCAGCACTGCAGCTGGTGAGACTTCTGTCAGCTGTGTGGTTTACCAGGAGGAATCTTCAGCTGGAAAACAATTCTCAGGTGCTTTGCACTGAATGGAAAGTGATGAAAAGGTGGTTTTAGTAATTCTTTTTGTATAGTGTTTATTGCCTCATTTATATACTCCCTAGCATTCAAAAAATACTTTTCTGAAGTAATTAATTATTTCCTACAAATCTTATTGATATGAAGGGGTGCCCTACACTGTTTAACTCCAGCTATAAGTCTCAACCTCCCAAACAGTAAGGTATCTATGTGCCTTCAGAGAACCATAGAACAGTTTGGGTTGGAAGGGACCTTTAAAGGTGATCTAGTTCAACTCCCCAGCGATAAGGAGCAACATCTTCATTGGGATGCTCAGAGCTCCGTACAACCTGACCTTTAATGTTTCCAGGGATGGTACATCTACAACTGCTCTGGGCAAGCTGTTCCAGTGATTCACCATGCTCACTGTAAAACTTTTCTTCCTTATATCAAGTCTGAATTGACTGTCTTTTAGTTTATAAAAATTACCTCTTGTCCTATCACAACAGGCTCTGCTAAAAAGTCTGTTCCCATCTTTCTTATAAACCCATTTTAAATACTGAAAGGCTGTAATATGGTCTCTCTGGAGTCTTCTCTTTTCCAGGCTGAACAACCCCAATGTCCTCATTCTTCTGAGTCTTCTCATGAACTCCTGTTGAAATAGTTGCTTCCTTAATGCTATGCATATGTTTTGAGGGCTCAGAAAAGACAGGGAAATTACAAACATGTGAGCTCAAAACTTCTGAGAAAATGACGACTGCCAGTGTTTCCGTAATTAAAGATATGCTCTGTAAACTGTCCCTGCCTCTCCTTTTCCTTTCTCCAAGATGAATGAAATGTGAAACAGCGTATTAAGCCTGGGAAGTAAGTTAAGGTTATACAACTAATTGCATTTGATGATGTCATGTCCCTGTTGATGACAAGGATAAAACATGTCCAAAACAGTGCCTAGAGAGGGAGAGAACATTTTGGGGGGGACTGCCTGGGGGGGACTGATGGTGCAACAAGCGGAGCCATTCACTGCAGCAAACCCACGATCCCCTCGGCCAGGTTCATTTGCCCCTTACCCCGCCGGGGGCCCTGTGCGGAGCGCTCCCGCCGGCGGAGGGGCGGCCGGGGCAGCCCCTGGGGCCGGGGTTAACCTCGTGTTATCGCCGACCCTCTCGCAGATCGCCCGCCCCGGGCATCGTCCGAGGGCCAGGGCGCTCCCCGCGCCGCCGCTCCCTCCGAGGGTGCGCACCGAGGCCGGGAAACTTTCGGAGGGAACCACTTCCTCGCCCGCCCTGCTGGGGGGGAGATGTCAGATGTCGGGCGGGAGAGAGGGAGGGGTGAAGGCGGGGAAGGGCCAGTCGCAGACCCTCCGCTCGCTGCAAGACGGCCATTTAAGCCCTGGGCGAGGAGCCGGCGGGAGAAGGCGAGAAGCGGCGGTGGAGGGAGGTGACCGGCCCGGCTCTCCAGCAGCCGCTGTCCCGCTCGCCCCCTCACTCCGCCCCGCTCACGGCTTCCCCCGCGGCTCCCGTCCCCCCGCCTTTCCTTGGGGCGGGCAGCGCTGGAGGGAGCGGCGGCGGGCGGGGCGCGGGGGAGGGCCGGGGCGCCGGGCGGTGCGGGGCGGCAGCCCGGCCATGTCTCCGGCGGAGGCGGCGTCGGGCTGAGCGGCCGTGCGCGCAGCGGGGAGCGCTCTCCGCCACCATGAGGCGGCTGCCGCTGCCCCTGCCCTGCCTCCTGCTGCTGCTGCTGCCGGCCGAGGTGAGACCGCCGTGCGGGAGGCGGGGGTCTGCCGCACCTGCCCCCGCCGGGGCTGCCCCCCTGCGCTGCGGGGAGCGGGCGGCCGGCGGGGCAGGTGTGCGGCCGGAGCTCGGGCTTTGTCCCGCAGCGGTGCCGCCCGGGGAGGGCAGGGGAGGCTGGGGGGGCTGCGGCGCTCACCTGGGGTGGGATCCCTGCGGCCTCGGCTTCCGCCGGTTCTCCCGCCTGTCCCCCCCGGGGTCTGAGCCCCTCCCGGCCGCAGCGGCGGGGATGTGGTAGGGTGAGACCCTGCGGTACATCCGCGTGGCCACTGTCGGGGAGTGAGGCTGCCCCGGTTGTTTACCCCGCTAAAAGCTGCCTTAGGTAGAATAGGGACGGCTCCCGTCTCCCCAGCGTTGTAGCCTGCCGTCCTCGTGTCGCTGCTGGTTAATTAGTAATAGGTTATTTGCGCATTGTCCGTGACGGTGGTGCACATCACCCGCTGGGTTACAGCCTTCAGGCTCAGTGTGGAGTTTCCACGGGAAAATCCTGCCCTTTGCGGAGTGAGCAGACCTGGCGATGCAAGGCAGCAGGAGGGCTTTGCCTGTACACTTGGGTTTGAGGCCCTGCTCTGTTCCCAGGTGTGTTTCAGGATGTTCTTCCAAGAACATTTTCAATGATGTAAGTCAGAATCGCTTGCCAGGTGACCCACTGACAGCGTGCTGGCATAGACTTTCACCCCGTACTTCTCTCAGCTGATAGATTCCTGGTGTTCCCGCAGGAACGCTTCATGGCTGCTGTGAATGCTAATGTTTTGGGGCTTCTTGAACTTTTGATTCCAGATGTACCTGCTTGGCCTCTCTGCCTCAACAGTTTCTGCTACAGAAGTGTGAATGTGTATTGGGATGGACCAAGGTGCTCAGTAATTTTTGGTAACAGTTCTGCCTGAGAGCTGCAGAACAGAACTGTACCACTGCTTTAGTTTAACTATTTTTTCCCCCTATCTTACACTGGTGCTGACTTGTAATTGGAACCAATGACTACTGTAAACCTTTGCTTCCTTCTCCTTTTGTGTCTTTCACTTTGAGGTACCTTGCAGTGTTTTGTAATTCCATCTCTGTTTGTTGTTGTAGCAAGCCTAGGCTTAAAAATATCTTCTAAATAAGAGCTGAAACTGAATTGGGTATCAAAGTACTCCAGCATTTTGGAAAAGCTCAGAGCAGGCCTGGATTGTCCTTGGGTATAGCCTTGCAGGATCTGTCTACCACGACCTCTATGGTTTGTAGTTTTTCTTCTCAAGCTGAATCTTGTGACATAATGATCTACTTCTAACATTTTCTAAGCCAAGGTCTTAATTGGTGTCTAGTATGATTAATAATAACATGAAAAAAAAATGGACCCTCTCCTCAATTTCATGTAGTTATATTTATGAACTCATCATCTCGGGACCCAGCTGCAGATCCTCGGGTAGGCCCTGTCATCCGCAATGGTATCGGAGCTCCCATCAACAGGAGGACACAGATCTGCAGATTCTGCTGTGGCTCGTAATTTTAGGTAGGAGCTCCCCAGCTCTTGGTGTCATTACTGAAAACTGAGAAGACAACAGTCTCATTTGTGACTTTAGGTGTACCTGTGAATGTGAAAGCTGATGCAAGGAAGTCTCCATTCACCAGACTTCTTAACTAGTGCTGATCAGCACCTGGTGAAGTTCTGAACATTAGGAGCACTTCCTTGATCTACACAGAGAAGTGGGGAGAAAGGCCCCTTAGGAGCTTTTTCCTTAGAGTAATAGGATGTAAACTGAGTCCTTGCTGATGGTGTGATTCTGCAAATCACTGATTTGAAATGACTAAATTTCCCTGTGTTCACTTACAGAAGGTAGGGTGGGATCACTCGTGTGAAAAGGTCATTTATATAGCCTGTAAGCAATAAGGATGCAGATAAAGCCTTGCTTGGATGGAATTCTGACTTTAAGCACTACAGTCTTGTTGTCTATTCCAAGATGCATTCACATGTCAGGATGTTCTCTGACAGGGAACACTTCTGTGCTTTGTGTTGGGTTCTTTGCATAGGCTAAGGCAGATATTGGAGTTGGCAGTTGTTGCTTGTGGTGTGGCATGTGCTCGGGTGCAGGGACGTGGCCTGGGACTACCTGATGAGGTATTTAGCTGGTGTAAGAAGATGACAGCAGCTGGCAGGACTGTCAGGCATGTGGCACGAGCTGGACTTTGTGTGTTGTCAGTAAGAACTATTGCGTCTTGTCTACAATCTCCCAGCCAGCCCCTGAGCAGAAAGGCGGCAAGTTGGATGGAAGTGGCTCTTGGCTGGATCTGGCCTCTGCACTGCCTTTCAGATGACTGTGGGGTCGGTGAGGGGACAGCAATCCTTACACAGACAGCACTGTCGGCCCAAATACACGCAAGGACTGGGAAGCAGCCCGAGCTATGGAACAACTGTGTCGTGGCAGATCTGGAGGGGTGTGACTGGCATATGATCTTTCTGTGGTGTCTTTTCCCCAAGGATAAGCATCTTCTGTATTTTTGATTAATTCCAACAGAGTGGGTAAAGTTGGAGTTGTTTAAAAGCAAACCTTGCTGTGTGTGTTTTTGTTGAGAATGATTATATTACTGATAATGACAACTAATGTCTACTACTAAAAGAGCAACAGACTTTTAAGCTCTGGTGTTTTTGTGCTTATTTTGGTGCTTAGAATTATAAATGCCTTTTATGTGGACCTAATAGCTTGTTCTTACAGCTTATTCCATGCAAAAAACTACTGATAATGTGTAAGTTGATTATATAGGATTATGACTTAATTACTGGTCTGAATTTCCAATTGAGGAGTTTAAATGAAGAACTGTCTTATCTTAAATGTGGGCTTGCCATGTGTCCATGTTGCATGAAAGATAACTTCTGCTATATATTGGTCATTATTAATCATCCTTAATCATTCTTGTTGATTATTCTCCTGTATAGTAGCCTAAATTTTAGTTGATGAAATTATTCTGGGTTATCTTCAGCACATGCAAGAAATACTTAATAGTAAGTACTATCTAACAAAAATATTTTGCAAATACTTTATGGTAGGTCTACATACAGCTCATTTAGAGGCTTTAAAAAGAATAAAGCTTTAGAAGTGTGAGGCTCCCTTGCTGGTACTGTAAGTACACTTCTGGGGTAAAACCTTTAATGGCCACTATTAGAAGCAAGGGTATGAGCATTGCTTATCTGGAGACCTGAGTAGGCCTGAACATACACAGCATAGGCCAGAAAGAGAAGCTGTAGCTGTGAACTGAGTGTGCTTGAGTCGGAGGAGCTTAGAAATATACTTTTCATCTGTCAGGACAAGTTATTTTTATATGATGACTGACAGTTGATGCTGAAGTGCAAGGGCTTTCATTTTTGTCTAAAACTGCAACACAGGTTAATTTCCTGTGCTTCTTTATGTTCCTCACAAAACCCCACAACACAAGCACCTTCTGCAGGGCTCAATAGATGCTTTGTTTCCAGCGTGGCATGGATGTGTGTAGTGCTTCCTTAGTGGCATAGGCTGGCTGCACATTGCAGCACACTCAGATGATTTCCAATACTTTGTGTCTCCAGCCAGCAACACAAAACAAAATATCTTCTTCTGCATGTTTGAGATCAGAATTCAGGCCCACAGTGGAAATGTTGCCTGTGCAAACAGACACGCTATTATTAGTACTTCCTCAATTATGTGAGCTACATGCAAGTCTTTGTTGAGAATTTTCATGGCATGTAATTTTTTTTCGTTGGAGCTTCTAAATATGAGCGAAATTGCTACTGTTTTAAAATCTTTGGTTGTTCATTGTATAGGGCATAATCCATATAATTTTAATCTATGCCTTTCCTTCTTGCTACTAGAATTACAGTGTATTGTAGAGTGAGCATTTTGACAATGTTAGAGAGTGGTTGGGGACTGGGAATTTGATGTTTGTAGGTATGAAGCCTATATCATGTTGTTTACTTGGGGTTTATGCTTGCCTGCTTGAAAGAAGATTCCCAATATGAGCCAAGGAGAGAGAAGCCATTAAAACAGTCAGTGGCTGCACATCTGGTTGTTAGCCTGATGTGACTGCTTTTAGTTAGACTCCAAAATTTGAATGTAAATAGTAGCTTGAACATCATGAAAGGCTACTGGAAGTGCAGGAGGAGCTATTTGAATTTTCTCTATCAGAGAGAGCCTACTTCTGTGTAGAAATGGGAGAGTGAAAGAGAACCTTACCTTAAATGGAGCTATCAGTAGGAAATTAATTTTCAGCAGGAGATGACTGTGCAGGGGAGGACTTTAATTGGTGGGGAGGAAGACAATGAAATGTAGGTGAGCATGTGCTAGTATGAAGTGATAGAAAACAAAGAGTGTTGGGAAAGAGTGATCAGGCATGTGCAGGAAGGGAAGAACAAAACAGATGCACTGCTCTGGAAGGCTGCACCAAGGCTTTTCTCTAAGTGCTTTCCAGCTGTTCCCAAATGTATCTGCACATAAACAGGCCCCCTGGGGCTATTAATCCAAAATTCCAGGAGAAAATCCAAGATTAAGTGGGAAAAGTATTTCTGTAATCCAAAAAAGAATGGACATGTATATGGGGTCCAACTAGAGCTAAATTGATAAATTTGTGGCTTCATTTAGTTGTCTTCTAGGCCATCTGTGGGCATCCAGTGGAAAAGGCAGGGGAAGATATGTCCATGTCCTTCCACAAATGTTGGTATTTGGCGCATCACTGAATGCAATTAGGGTTATTTTCCTACCATCACCAAGAAATTGGAGGAATCCCTTGATATTAGAAACCACACAGTCCAACCATCACTGTTCTCCTTCTGTGCTCTATGTGAAGATACCAAGGGCCCGCATGGGAAAGCCTCTTTATCCACTTGTAGCAATGCAATAGGAGAAAAGGTAACTGTGCTTTTAACTGCATCTCAGAATAGAAAGAATTGTACCTACAGCTATAAATGGAGGAAGGAATGATGCTGGTGTCTGCTGTGGTACCAGACCTGTGGGGTCTGGAACTGGCCTTGGCTTTACATGGTGCTTCAAACCCAGTTGGTATGTGTGGGGAAGAGGGCTAAAGCCTGTGTTTGACATGAGTACTACTGTAGGAGGAGAAGGGACTACTGTAAGGATCACCTTCAAACTCTCCTAGCCAATGCTTAGAAGTCCTTTTCTCTCCAGTGCTGCCTATCTGCTTGTTCTCAGTCTCCTTTTCCTATTCTTCTCTCGTACCTCCCATTTGTTTGGTACACATGGGACTTCTCTCATTGTTTTGTACAGTTTTAACCAAACTGAACAACTAAAAGAAATACCTAGTATGTCACTAGGAAGTTCCTAATGCATGCAAAGTTTTTGTTGTGTACTGCATCTGAGCTTCTATTTTAAGGTTGAGAATGTGGGAGTTTTCTTTACATGTAG